CTACATTTATTTTTAGTATTTTAACCAAGAAGCCAATTCAGCAAACGCCGCTTGAATTATTACAATATTTAGTTCACTATGTACATGAAATTAATACAAGACTGCAGAATTAGAAGTTAATTTGTAATTGCTTTCGTCACGTAGCCTAAACCAATTACGTCATGTAACTTAGCCCTTTGATAGGACTGTTCGTGATTGGCATTTGGCTCTCCAGTCTGAAAGGCTCACCATTCATTGGACATCATTTTCTACACGAAATTATGGTAAGGTTGCTTATATCAACCTTTTCACTAATATAAACGTGGAGCCCTGGGGCAGAAAACTCAAAATTCCTATGCGATATAAAATTAAATTCTATTCGTTATTGTCTTGAATTTCCCGTTTCGGAAAGTTTCGTTACCATTTCAACCGCCATACCCTCGTTTTTTATTAAGTGCCAGTAGTGTCTAGTATAACGGCAAGAGTACAATTGATTTGATTAAGCCTTTCCCTCCTGATCAGTTGCTGTAAATACAACGCACAAAAGAGTATTTTATGCATCGAATTTTACAGAAACTTGTCTGTGGTATGCTTCAGCTCACTAAGAAGCAAGGGGCTTGCCTCATAGGAGTGTGAGAATGCATCTGGGAATACCAGATGTCTTTACCGAACGGACTTGATTTAGGCCTACTCATAAAATTTAAAGTCCAGTCTGAACCATTGTTCGTGTTATAAGGAAAGCCAAAAGTTCAGTGCTTCTTTTTTCCCTAGATGTTGGTAATAATTTGGTAATAATAATGTAAACAGTGTTCTTCAGGGGAAAGAGTGGCTGTAACGTAGGTTAATGTAGTTGAAAACTCCAAGTCAATAATTTCCCACATGGTTATTATTGTCATGTGACCAACTGTGATATTGAAAAACAGCCCCAAATACGGAGTGAATGCTGCTTTCATGATAAATTAGATATCCCCCCCAAAAATCGTAGCTATATATTTAGGACATACAATCCAAATGGCATTCCTTATTTTGGAGGTTTATACCACGAAAAAGTCTAAACCGTTGAAATAAAGGACAATTCTTACATGCATAATAAAGGATCGTCTTGTAGCGTTAATTCCCTAAGGTCTTTTTAATGCACCCATGCGATGCATTTTGTCTAGTGCGTGTCCGTTTTCTCAATTTGCTTCCTTGAGGTAGACCCGGAACGCGTTGAATATTAAACCTGTCCTGAGTATCATTGCCACAAGAAGTAATTACTTGCTCATCGGGGGTCACGTTATGCTCTATCTAACACGATCACAGAGTAATGTAAAAACTATCCATATATTTTAAAACTGCAATAAACTTTATTTTGAACATCTTGCTTTGAAGCCCATTTGTGCCACTTGTAATATGTGAAATATATTTCACAAGGTGCAACATGTTGTTCAGTAAGTTGTCATAGCAAGAAATAACTCATTAAAGCAAGACAATGAGTTACGGCAGAAATTTGTATAATGTCAATTGTATGAAATTAACTCTGGTTGAGCATTATTGGTATCCTTACAAAGCAAGCTTTTGTGTGTTTCGTGAACCTGAATCTTTTATTGAGACTGAGATTGTCGCCATAGTATTTTTACTTTACTTTCATAACCTCGCTTGTATTGACTTACCGGTACATTTTTATTTTGAAATCCGTTTAATGTTTTTTCTAACTATTAGGCCGACAGTCATTCTTTGTAGCTACTGCTTGACTTTGTAAATCTGACTGGTGCAGTAGCATTCCCATTTTTATTTGGAAGATGGTTTCTTGTTTATCCTGCTATATAGATCTTAGGTAATCCCACTTATGGTCTGTCTGATCAATTGTTTTTTGTTGTTTTTTCTAACTGTCTGTCTTGGCACTTTCTTTGTCGGTACCAGGCATGTTTTGTATTTTTAGAGTTATTTTTTTTTAACTGCAGCAAGCAATCTTCACAGTATTTTATCAACTTTAAATCACGTCTCTGAAAAATAATCTCGTAAATTTATGTTTGTTTTCATCTGATGTTTTATATTTTATCCTTTTTTAGTTAATATATATGCAACGCAATTGATATTTGATGCTTACACATAATCTGGCCGTAATTCAGCTTTTGGCTGCTGTGGTCGATCTAGTATAAACCATTTCAAATCGAATCAAATCAAGTCAGAGCGATGTAATCATCGTTGCGAAAGCGAAATGCATCAAGACACTGCATACGGTAAGTTATGTTATTTTCTTGTCCTGTTTTGGGAGCAAGCTAGTAAGTAGCCAGATAAAAATGTATTCCTTCTCGACACAAGAATATTCATGTGCGTTTTGCGTTTCAAATGCAAAAATAAGAGATGATGTGAGCACAATGCATGCTGTAAATATTGTAATATCTAATCTGTCAACAGGGTGTGATGCAGGGGCTGCTCTGTCCAAAACACTTTGACATGGATATATAACACTATACAGCATTATCTCTGCAAAACATTATATGTCTAATTCTTGCAATCTATTAAAAATAAGTTTCAGATACTGGTAGGGCTTTTTAGAAAGAATAGGGCTCCAGAAAAACAAGATAAGAATGATCTAAATGGCCTTAGAATGGGACAGACGTAATGAAGCATGTTGTTTTCTTATTTGTTTTTCGAAACGGTCGGAAACTAAACATACTAATTTAAGTTTGTCTTTGCACTGAGCGGAAAACTTTCTTTTGTCGTGTGCCCATTTGTCATTTCCGCATTTTGTGAATAATACCAGCTTTTTTGGATACGAGTAAACTGCGTCAGAGGAATCATGTTTCAAGGAGTTTATATTATCATGGAAGAATATAAACAGAATTAAGAACTCTTGTTACTTGTGATGACTTAGAAAACAACCAAGCTGGAAAGTACGGGGGTCTGCTAAATGAAAGGCAAACTGTGTCAGAGATGCATGCTATATGGCTTTGTGTGTGATAGTTAATACAAAAACATGACTTATTAATCAATATGCGAGTCAATGGAGCCAACCACGGATGTAACGTAGATGTAGTATCATAAGACATGGTCATCCTATTCCAACAAAAGTTTCTCAGTTAGTACAGCACTCCAACCATGCAGCGCTCTTTAAATAGCAAAATACGTACGTTTCTGAAATCAACCAATACGAACGCTTCATATGCCGACCCGAAAAGGTTCAGCGTTCATCGCGCTTTTTCCCAGGGCTCGACCGCTAATTAAATGATCCTGGAGAGGCTCGAAATTAGTCGAAGATCAATTTCTTGGATCAATTTCGCACATACACGCAGTCATCAGCCAATCAGAGTGAATGGTTTGTTGTTCGAGGAAACGTGCACTTTGGTGCTGGATTGATTTCGTTAGTTGACACGAGTGGTGGAAATAAATAATAAAAAATGAACAGGAACAGCAAGGTCAAATGCAGAGGCAAACGTGAATAAGACGTGTACAAGATCAAAGTAGATGTAAGATTTCTTTGTCAAAGGACATTTTGGTCCCTCACGGTTTTATTATAACTATCACAAAAATATCACAGGAATGATGTTATAGGCACATTTCGTCAGTTGAAAATACCAATCCTTAGATAATTCACATATTGTTAGTTACAACGAATGTAGGTTAGTTGATCCAAAATATATTCACACACCATATATGGACAGCATGTTGAGCTGTCATCGAAGATACAACCCTTTTATGATTGTCTTGGTGTCATAGACAAAGGCATGTCCGCCCTTTATATGTGTGATTTATTTTTAAAAAAATACACAAAACTCTCGAGTCTCCAGAACCAGAAGATCATCACGTTAATCGCAGAAATTATCTAATTGCAATTGTCTAAAGCTGATGTCCTCTTAATTCCAAGTATTTTTATAACACAGATTTCCCTTACATTTCCGATCACCATCATCAAAAATGCAGAAGACGCGGTCACAACGAATATCTCCGTCTTAAGACTTTATGCTTTGTTATTCCTTCCTCCATGCTTTGTCATAGTCGGCAGCTGTTTAAAACAACAAAAATGTCAAGATATCATGGATTCAGATCATTTACATTAGCGGACAGTTCTGACTTAAGTAAAGAAAGTAAAGGATCACTCAGCGAAGCAGTGGCTCATCCAGGATTTGTTAATAGAGTGACTGGATGAAATCAGTGCCCTAAAATGGTCTATTTTGCTGTGGGGTGTAGGCATCTCTTTTCAAAATGGCTGCAGGCTTCATAAAAATATCTTGAGAAGTGATCGGATAAGCCACTAAAAACTGAAAGGAAAAGAAAAGATGAGGAGATGAGCTTTAAATAATTGCCGTGTGTTTTGAACACCTCAGAAACTTGTGAGCATTTTTTAAAGTGGGAGTATTTATCATTGTCTATGGAACTTCATTTACTGGTCTGCACCCCTATGGCAGTGAAGTGGGACGCGATCCATCGAGTCCTCATTGTAAAGCGCACATATAAACAAGGCGTGACGTTATGTTTAAGCCCTAGTAAAACCGCCTCAGAAAACGTTCAGGAACGTTCGGAACTCTTCCTCTGAATTCGAAAGTAAAACTTCGAATAGATAAAGACAGAAAAAATAAACAATGCATTCCCTAGGTCTCCGCGTTCGTGCACGCGAGTTTTCAAATCATGCAAATGTAACCCTGACCTCATAAAGGTCTGAGGTTAGAAATTACTTCGTGTCCATTTTCTCTGTTTTCCTAATGTGTGCACCATTTTATTGATCTCTATCCCTCTCTACTGAAACTTGTAGCTAGACAATAAATGTTTATCTCTTTCCTGTCTACCCAAGCTGTAACGCCTTGATCTTCCCTTTTTCTTGGAAGTGGGATTATGTAAGTGAGAGGGATTAAGGGAGTGAGTTGCCTTACACCGTTCTACCCTCCATCCCATAATTTTCGCCCTCCAGGATGCCCAATCAGGGCATTACCCCTTGTGGTGGTAACAAGACTGTCCAATGGGAGGGCAAACTGGTCTTGGAGTGTAGCAGGAGGTTGTGGGCTACATGTGCCCAAAATTGCTGGCCATGTGCATTTCCACATCTTGTCAGCAAACAACGAACAGTAAAGCACTCCGCTCCTTGTCCAGTATTTCAGAGCAAAAGACAACGGAAATTGTTCCTAGTACATTGTAGCTCTATAGTTTAGAGGTCCAAATACCTGCAAGTGGGACTTTCACCAAGCTGCTGTTCTGCAAAGATTGAATGTTGGCTTTTTTAGGTAAGTCAAGTTTATGCCAATTTGAGCAGATAGATTGTTAGCTTAGAAAAGTGTACTGGTAGTCATTTGCTATGGTGTCTTTTTGAACCCTTGCCAAGTTTTAATGTCAAGAACTTTGTAAGCTTAATGATAGCCTGTACATAGTAGGAAAAACGTTCTGGTACATTTTGCTGTGGCTTTAGGCAAAGTGAGAAACAGTCCCTTATAAAGTTTTAATGTTACTGAATGCAGAACGTACATGCGTCTTTGTTGAGAGATCTCCAGCATGTAGCTCATGGCTGTTACCACGTTCATTCTCTTAAAAGCCTTTGGCATGTTTGACGATTTATTTTCTTATAATTGCCCTTAACCTGGGGAACTGCTTTATGGAATATTTTAAAGCTTGCTTCGACTTGGATTGTCAGAACTCGCTCAGAGATTTCAAACTATTGTCCGATGACTCGGACTGCAGAGTTTTTTCTTTGTTTATGGGAATTGTCATTGAGAAGGCAAAATTCTTAGCTTGAATCAGTGCATATGTTTAATTCGAAACCGAGAAACCTTTGAGCCAGTCTAGCTTTGGCCTTCACTTTCATTTTTTTTATGTGAAAGTCTGGTCATATGGCGCCATGAAGCATATTTGATGCCGAGATAGTTTTATTCATTTTGGGGGGTAAACTTTTGTTTTTCCACATGTTAAATTTATGGGTGTGTATACATGTATATAAGTCTGTGTTTTGCGTCAAAACTCTTAAACGTACATGTAAAATAGATGCGTTAATTAAGGGAAAGCAGAGTTCGCCATTTTTAGTCCACTTTAGAGTGGTTAGAACATTTGGTGGTGTGGCATGGACCACCATGTTTGGCTCTTTTAGATACAGAGATATCAGGCCGAGTTGTCTACTGGGAATAGCCAGAAGGGGACTTTTGTGCTTGCCCTTCCCGCTCCCGTGGCATCTCAACACTTGTATGCCAGTCACCGCCTGGTCTGGGATCGTTGAGGAGTACGTTGTCCTCAGCCCCGTTATCGCCCAGTATCACCCAAACACCAGCCACTTTGCGGTACCAAACATGCTAGCCAACTTGTGACACCAAGTGTGCCAGCCAGCCAGCCTGTGACATCAAGTGCCAGCAATCTAGTGACACCAAATCCGCAAGTACCTGTACAATCCTTTGAACTCTTTTCCACAGAAAATGCCGAGCTGAATTCTCGCAAGAACACCACCACCCCACGACAACGGTCCGTTGACGTCGCCAGCTGCATATCTACAGAGAACTTTAATTGTCCTTGATGAACATTAGGGCGATATATCTGGGTTTTGTGCTACAGTCAGATACTGAAATATACATATGTTTTTCCCACTTTGGTTATACAGTCAGCGGTGACATGACAATACTATTTTAATGCGTAATATGGTTGCAATAAAGCAATTTTCAACTGTGCACAGTATAACTGATGTCGACAATTGATTTGTTTTCCCGAAAGGAGTTGGTTATTTAAATCGGTTCCTGCCATTTTGGGTGAACCCAGGTTACACAAACATGAGAACAAGAAGTATCACGTTGCTTATACTACCTACAATGTACATGTACAGCTGATGGGTACTAGATTTACTTGGGCTTACCTTGGACAGTTCTTGTCAACAAAGGTTAGGGTTTAATTTTTTTGTTTTATAATGCTTACTACTCCAGTAAATTCGTTTTAAATGAAACGTATACATTTTGTGGCCTGCTGTTTCAGTTCACTTTTAACCTAAAGAACACCAAAAATAATCTTGGAAATTGTTACTTCTGTACGTGCACACCAAGTTGCACAAGTCCTCTTGTATTCTAGATTTTCGGAAAGTGAGAGGTCAATTTCCGACAAGATATTTCTCTTCCAGTTCAGCCAATTTATCAGAGTGCTACAGGCTAGCAAGTAACTTTCATGTATGTTCGATGTTGATTTTGTTAGAAACAAATAAACAAAAATAATTGCATATTCTAAAATTTTGCAAGTTCAAGTTAATTTTCCTATCCAAGGGTTCCGAAAGCGAGCTATCTGGGTTCAACTTCGAGACTCTGTTGGAATTCATATGAAACTCAACGTGTTTAAACAGTAAATTTCCATTTCATCTGAACGTCTACACAGTTTTCTATTGTGAGATCTAGAATAGTCCAACAATGCTTTTGCGTCGTGATGCCCAAATAGCTGGTTATCAGCTACGGACTCAAGTGCCATGAACTGCTTAAAAACACAAGAAGAGATGGTCCTGATGACATACCATACGCTGTCTTATTGAATTTGGAACGTAATTAAATAGTGGCGGTCTCTGGTAATTTATAACAGCATCAATGTTAAACAAGACGGTTTTAAACTCTTTCAATCAAGGTAAACTGTGATATTTTTTTCAAAGTAACTGTCAAGAGAGATTATTTAAATAATTAAATAATTCTATATTATTCGCAATGTAACACCCTATTAAATAATTAAACACTTTGTTCCAGATACTTTAGTACATGAATGTTGAAACGGCCTTCTGAGTTCTTCTGATGTCCACAACAGCCAATCGTTAGTCCTATGAACCGCATAAATCAAAATGACACTTTTGTTGTCCTTAGTTTGGCCAACAACCAGTTACAAAACTTTCAACTCTGGACCAGAGTGCAAAAATCCATTTGCCTTTTATTGGATGCGTGGCAATCGTGCATGAAATACCCTAGTTGAGATTTCGTGTACCAGTTGCTAGGAGACGTCACTGAGATTCAATTTGTCAGGCTGTCTGAGGCAGTGATTGGTCATTATTTCCTGGCACCTTACCAAACTTGATGATAGTCCATAAAATTATTTCAGTGAGGTATCCATTGATCCAAGTCTAATTCTTCCCTCAATAATTTTTGTCTCAATGAATTGTTTCTATAATTTTGTTGTGAAACATCACTTTTATCCCCTTGATTGCAAAGTCTTTGACTTCAAGATTTCCTCATGATCCGTTGTCCACACATTTCTAAGATATAATGATGTGGACTGAATTCCTGTCTGTCGAATCTGACCACCGATCGGATCGAACCTGGCTCAGTTGGATTCGGACTTAAATTGCTATTCAACCAAACAAGTTGGAAAGCTTCAATCAACTGGCCAGGTGGGTAGTTCAACAGCCTTCCTGGCAGTCAGTATAGAGGACTCAGGCGGAAGGGCAGTATGTTGGCAAGCAAGAAAAACCATAGAAGTATTGGGCAGCCACTGAGTAATTTGCAACTGCACAACGTGAACTCAGATCAAACATTCAAAGAAGTGCATACAGTGATCAGGAATTAATGCCTTCCTTATCTAAAATAATTATAAACAATTAACATCGTACTTTTTATATATATGCTTTGGGACAATGCAATTCTTAACCAAAATTTAAACTGTTCGTTTGCTCTACTTGCAACCCTGCTCATGTCTAATTAACAAGTGCCTCAACGAATACAACAGCTTTGGGCAATCCTATTACTTTGCCAAGGATTTATTTCTTGAATTGGAAAGGAATCTTAACGTAACTCTGACATAATCCACCTGTCCCGTTTTAATTTATGAGGTTCTTGACGCATACGACGAAAACCCCTACATTTTATACAATGCAAAATAATGAACAGTATCACACTTCATAAAAAAGACCTTTCAATGTCACTGTGCAAATTTTTAACCTGGTATTAACTTTAAAAATAAGCATTTTAAGCGCATTTTATAAACCTGTCAATTTTAGAGTTACGGATTTCATAATTATACATGTCTTATTGTTAGATACATGCGAATTTCCAGCTTAACTTACACAGTTTAAAGACTATTCCATCTGTTCTATAGTTTTGTTTTTTGCTGGTTCTATGGTGTTCACATTTAATACGATGAATGCCTTGTCTTTGATTCAAAGATTTGTATGGTGACTTGGTTGAATCGATTTCACGATGCGAGTTGAAAGAAACGATGAAAACTTGGAACACCCCATGCCCTAATTTCAGCGCCTTAAACCACTCAGGGCGTAATCTTTGTCGATGCCATTTTAATTACGGAGACTGGTGCTGTGACCACAATAGTATATCAAGGACATTTCGGCTTTTTCTCAATATGCTGTTTTGGAAGGTACTCATAAACCGTCTCAGCTTGACAAAAAAATGCTATAAGTTGTGTTAAGGAGTTATACCACTTTGTACTTAAAAATGATTGAAGAGAAAATGATTTTCACAAAAATCTCACCGGAAATTAAAGATTTTCTTTCACTGAATATTCCTGATACCTTCAAGAAGATTCTACACGTCTGAAAGAAACCACTACATCCATTCCCTTTGTCGACAAAAACCTAACATAAGTTTATGAATATATCTGGTGAGGGGTGACCGAAAATTAAAGGAGAAGTGAGAGTGAGTGATTTGGATGTTGGGATTTTCACTGTTTGGGCATAATGTCTCTAACACCGTGTATGTATCGTGTTCCCCTAGAACCAGTATGGGACATGAGCCCACGACCTCTTTACATTATGCTGACGCCGAAACACATTAAGATTCGAGTCGTGGAATTTGGGAGTTTTAATTATTTTCGTTTTCCTTGAAATATTGGCAAGTATAAGTGATCCTTGCATGCATTTTACTGCCCAGATCAAAGTTTCTGGGAAAATAAAGACAAGGAACGAGGGCAGGTGCTCCGGCGACCTTATACCCTGAAAGCCCAGAGCGTCAGTCTTGTTTACGGCGATGGGATCGAAGGAAAGCAGTCAGGTGTGTACAATTGTAATGGCTTCTTGGTCTGTTTAGGAAGAGTCCGTGTTAGTAATAATTCCGCTCGCCGGAGCGTCAAGTTATTTTCGCCTGTCACCCGAGAGAACACGGCACGATGACTACGTGAGCAGGGCGGACAATCACCTTCCGTGCAAAAAATGGCCACGTAAATTGAACTTTTGTCTATACGATATATCAAATTATACGTCCGAAAATTCACAGAAATGTTATGAATACAAAAACTGCATGTCGTTACAATGCAAGTCCATTGAAACAATTCAGAATAGTGTGACTTAAGTATCTTGCTTCCAGATTCAATCTCATTCCTCAAGTTTGAGTGCCTGTTGAAACTTTTCAATTAAGGTTGTTTTACGGTTTTTGTTTTGTTACACTTTCATGGCTTGCTAAACACCGACGTATCTGCATGGCTTGTGAGATGTACCTATGGGCCAGATCGCTGAAAGAATCCCCGGCCATTTTAACTTTACCCCAGCCCTTCTCTTATGTGCTTAAATTTGATTTCAACGTTTCCAATTAATATAATGGATTAGGCAGTCAAGGAAAAGACAAATACATTGTATTTTGAGTCTTAAAATGTTTAAGAAAACTTCATGACTGAGGATTTTTGTTGGTTTGATCATGCTTACAGAGTCATTTGGATAACATCGATATATTCAATGCAAAGCGTCTAACAACTCTATAATGAAACAAGCAGACTGACTCAAACGCGCAACGTAGGTTCAACATTTTCTCTTTTATGGATTGATGTGACTAATCCAATTACAAGGTTTTTTTTATAACGTCAGTGCACAGAATGGTTTTCAGTTTAGCGCATGTATTGCCTATTATTTTTGTGTGACTATGAATGAATAAGCGGCTGCACAAAGATTACAACGCCAAAATGTTTGACAAGTAAAAAAATAACAAACAGTATTGGGGAGAACACATATTCACAAGTTAAAATTGCAGAATGCGTATAATCAATGACCAAAGGTTCTGACACATTATTTGTAAGTTTAATAAGCTAACAGAATGTCTTCTGTATTGGCAAAGAACATGCGGATTTTTATTGACAAAGTCTGGGTATTTTTCCACGAACTGGCCCTGCAGCTCTGACAACCTAATGAGGTAAAATGTTTCAACGTATAGTCACCCATTTCACGCAGTTAATAGCCCACGGCTTCACAGCAACGTCCGTCAACCCCTTACCCAACAGCCGGCAAAATCATGCCTACAATGTGTGCTTGACGTCACCGTCACCATGGTAACCATCGTTTTCGATTTGCCTGGTGGATTTGGCGCTGGCCCATCTGCTACAGCTAACTAGTAATGCTTGGCTTGAATTGCTAATCAGACAACCCAGCAAGAAATAATAAAAGCAACAAATGGCTGTCAACATGATGTGAGCATGAGAAACCTACCCCATCATCATGACCTCTTGGGAAGTCTGACAAAATGCTTCCGTGTTCTTGAAATAATAATACTCGGAAAATACTGTGAAGGGGAAAATTTTCGCTTACACCTACTGCAGCTATTAGTTGATGATATACAGAAGATTTTAATAATAGACTTGAATCCGACAGCACACCGGAGACCGGCAGAGAACCTTAACCACACTTTATATAATTATAGGCGGAATGGTGGTTAATTGCTCCATGAACATAAATAATCGTAGTTAATCTTCAGCGTTTCAGTAAAGGAAGTGACATAAAAAGCAACGACAGCGTCATTAAAAATGACTTTAGGTATAGGATTAAATTTGAGGAAAAACTAAACTGAAAATATCTGTACTTGAAAGATCAACTCTGGATTGCTGTTTGTTTTATTTTGTTTGTGATGATTTGGCGGATTTCGGGGAAGTGACCTGGTTTATTATAAGGATATTGAAACTCCAATGCCCCAAATCAATGTACATTACTAGCATTGTGGGGTTTAAAAGATTTAAGTTTAAATAAAACGATCCCACATTTTAATCATGGGTCTATAAAAACTATATATAACTCCGTGTTTAAACAAAATATGTTCTCCGGATGAACCATTATCATTTTTTTTTACAAACAGCAAACCTACAGTTATAGTACATACCCACATTAGCGCACAATGTACCATATGTCCCCAGTAATTCGTATTAACAACAAGCAGCAACTAGAAATTCGGACAGAACTAATCCATGTGCACTCTCAACGGTTGTGTTGTGTTTCAAGTTAAGGCTTTTTCTGACGTCACATCTTAGGTATCAATCTGACTGATTTTTACGTTTATATAATGAAATTATTTGTGTTGGGGTTGTCATTGGGGTTTTCATTTTTACACTTTATTACGCAAAGCCATCCTTGTGATGCATTTTCTACGGCTTCGTCATGCTCACCGGTACGTGACATTCTCTGGGTATACAGCCTTTAAATATTAAGAGCAGTCTGCACTGAACTAAATAGATTTAATAATACAATCCCTATCTGTTATGGTTCAGACGTTTTAGTTTTGATTGTGATACCGAAGTATCAGTTATGTGGCTGGGTGCTACAATTAATGGACTTAATGCATAGCAACGAACCTGTATTTTGCACTGTCCGGTACAAGGCCACTGAAGCGCATACGGCAAGAAAACACATGCTCCTTGCCCCTGGGCGCGATTTATTATTAGGATAATTATTGTGCGCGCTGATTTCTCAAGAGGGCGCTATCGGTTATGTAGGACGTTTGAGAAACGCACTTTTCCCTGTTATTTTCCAATATTCCTCGCAAATGTAGTCGGCAAGCAGCG